GTTGGAACTCCAAAGTCAAAATGGAAAAAAGCTGACATGCACGCAGCTTGCCTACAGTACAATATACCAAATCACCAAATTTGCCCCGTTCGGTTAGCAGGGGGAAATCAGTACTCCTGGGAATCGGGGTGTAAAGGCAACTGTCAGTACCCCTTCATCCAGTCCAACGTGAAAAAGACTCTCGACCCTTTCAGGACGCCCATGGCTACTTCGACGTTGGGCATGGGCCAGGGCATGGGTTCAGTGCGCGCATTGATCGGTCGCGAATCATTGGTCATTCGCAGATCCCCGGGGTCTTTCTTTGGCACAATCCTGGGAGCCGCTACCCAGCGCGACCGGGTTTTCGATAGACGAGACCCGCTGCTTCTAGCTCGCGCGTATGCTTCTCCAGGTACTCCAGATGAGTTGGGGGTATCATCGAAGGCCAGACTTCACGGGTACCGACTCTGGCTTGAGATGTACCTTCTGAGGATCAACCTTCACGGGCGAATCGCGTCCAAATTCCAATTGAAAGACGTCACGGTATTCCAACAGGAAGCTACGGAGGTCTTCAATGGCCGTCTTTTCCGCACCTTGGGCCGCTGCCTCGTTTACCTTGGCCATGAGAATGGTGTGCACCGCTTCGTCGCGACCTAACGCAGGGGTCAGCCGCATGTCAGACGTCGCGCAACACATGCTTCGTCGCCGTTTATGCCGTCAGAAAAACCAGTCCAATGGAGGGCTCGAAACATTGCCGCGCCAGGAGTTGAAACTGGCTGCTCCGAGAAGTCCCAGACAGCCTGTTGGTTATACGCGCTTTCGAGCAAAGTCTGTTCATTGTACCCCAGCTTTTGCATGACAGGCAGACCCAGAGTAAGTTCCACATTGGACACAGACTCGTCAATCCAAACTCGCAAACCACGCAACATCAGTGGCCCACATGCAGTCTTGAACTCCAGGCTTCCCAGGCGCACTTGTTTCGTCACAACGACTGGCTTGCTGTCCGCGCCGTAGGGATGGAGTGAAAAGGGCCCCATTGTCGCGATTTGCGGGGATGCACCAGCTGCCAGCAAGGCCGAAACTAAACCACCCGACGCCACAGACATGTCAGCGCCCGAGTCGAGGAGCGACGCCTTGACCGATAAAACACCTTCCACGGTGGCAGTGAGTGCGCTTCGCCCTGGCACTGCACTGCTCTTCTTCATGGTCGCCATGCGTCCACCAGGCGCTCCTTCTCGGCTGCCATTGGCGCGACTCTTCGCGAGCGCCCGCCCATGCTCTTTCAGGAGCCGAACCGCTTCTTCCTCAGAAATTCCTGGACATTCACGGACGTGGTGACTTGTCGACTTGCACTTCAAACAGCCCTTTGCTGACGCACGCGATACTTGACCAGAGGCAGCAGGAGCCGCGTCAGGTGCTTTGGTCGCCTGGTGCGTCGAAGTCTGTCTAGCAGCCTGGGCCTTACCTGAGTTGCCTTTTGGCTGGTCTATCTTCACCATGGGCTTCACATCTTCCTCGTAACCGACGAAACGCTCGTGACCAATTGCATACTCACGCAACCAACGCACGAATCGATAGACGTTCTTCTTCAAGGCCTTGTTCCGCGTCAGGGCCATCTGCTCGGTCACGGCACGGTGGAGAGACGCAGGTTTGATGGCATCAGTGATGATCTTCACAATCGCTTGACTCTCTTCATGGAAGACCCATTCTTGCCGGTCGCGGCGGACAGCGGCCGACAAACCGTCCAACATGCGGCCTACCCTTGAGTCGGCATGTTGGATGGACATGTCAAATACTACGGCCGCCTTGATCCGCTTCTTGAGAGAATCGAGAGCCCGAGGCTCCACATCGTAGCCTTGTTTGAACCACGCGACCCACTCACTCTCCGTGACATCTTCAGGGTCTTTGTCCATGTCCCATTCCGCGACACGTTGCTTGGTCCCTGGCTCAATGCAAGCACTTACCGGCATCACGAACGGTCGGACTCCGTTGGCTGTGAGAGCATTCGTCTGACTGATATACAAGTTGAATGAGGCCATTAAAACGCGCCGCTCTTCCTTGGTGGAACCCTTATACGTTGAGGGCTTAGAAAGAGGGGGCGTTGTGGACATGGACATTGTATTGACCCATGTCCACATCGTCGTTTTCGTCTGCTGGGGCCCTCGTACGGTTTGCTTGCTCACCAGCCACTGGTTGCGTAAACATCCAAGGACGTCCTTGATTCCACGCCTCGTCAACTGCCAACGGCTGTAGACGGGTTTGCTGCGAACGGAAGAAGCGACGCACAGTCGTCTTGCTTCGCCGTCGGCCGCGATCGTCGTAAGGCTCGGCGCGTGTCGCGTCGGCCGCAGGGCTAGCCGAACGGCCCGATCTCGAGCGCGTCTCACCGCATCGTCGTGGCTGCTTCCCGGAAGCTCCACGTCAACAGCATGTTTGCTTCCACCAGATGGAAGCTCCATATCGCTAGCGTGTCCAAAGACAGCTAAAGAATTCTTTGTTGTCTTGCGCCGGTGTTCGCAACCGACGGCTTGCCGTGTTCACAACGGCGACCTCGATGATAAATCCAAAAGTGAGATCGATTTTCAATCCAATCGCTTGCCCTTGCCCTACTTCGTTGAACCTGGGCGCCCAGGGCATCGAACTAGGACCTCACACATGCAACGTGCAAACACCATCGTCCCAAACACCAACTTCACACACAGGAGCACGTGGAGCTGGGCTCGGGGCACCACCACGAACAATCTGTTCAAGAAGCGTCACTGTCGCAAGCTGCGTTTGGTGAAGCCGATTACGTACGAAAGACCCGTGCAAGCCCAACACAAACTACCTTTCGGATGCCGATGGGTGCAGTTATAATCGAGTAATTGGATTTTAACCAAGTGATCTCTTTGGTTCCTTTCGTATAGGAGTTTACATCATCGTCGAATCCCGTCGCGCAGTCAAACAACCTATGTTGCTGTACATATGAGGTTTAGGTACTAGGGACATTGGTGCGCAAACGGATATCTCGGCGTTTGTATGCATAATTATCCGTACACGTTTCGAATGAATCCGGATATGTTGGAGGTTTTACCTAGTGCCAACGGAAAAACGCAATCTAGATTGGTTTAACGTCAACGCTTTATGGTTTAACTTAAATGTCCATGACGTTTAACAATAAAACGCCGACACCTCAGAACGGAGCTTTTGTGGTGCTTTGCATGATACTATTACTCCGAAGTTGCAATATTGGACAAAACACGTTTTAGTTGGACCAAAGTGACGCGTTTTATTCAGTCTCCTTGTCCTGCACGAGCGGCTGAGACGATGGCCGACATGACGCATCCGCTACACACTGCGTGGAGTATATGGGAACTCCGTGAGATGTCCAAGGGGAACTACGCTGACAAATTGCACAAGCTATGTACGTTCAAGTGCGTGGAGGACTTCTGGGGATACTGGAACAATCTGCCGAAGCCGAGTCAAGTTCTGAACGACGGGATCACGAAGAAAAAGCTCGGGGACCGCGCGATCGAGTCGTTCTGCTTCTTTCGTGATGGCATCAAACCAGAATGGGAAGACCCGATCAACCTCTCTGGTGGCGAATGGCAGGTTGCACTGAGTATGTCTTTCGTCGAAATGTTCATCGCTTCCCCAATCCTTGACTCACAAGAACCTTCGTAGAGCTGCAAGCTGAGGAACTAGACGATCTCTGGGAAAAGCTTGTGTTGGGCATGATTGGGGAAACGATCGATCCCGACGCTGAGATTACTGGCGCGCGTATCATCCACAAGGTACTTGTTCTAGATGAGCATGTGCTCCACGCTCATTTCACATTACGTGGTGATGGGTTATAGAACAAGAAGGACACGCATTCGTATCGCTTTGAACTCTGGCTGCGAAGCCGTGACCTCGAGTTGGCCGACGAGGTCCGAAAAGGCATGCTCGAATGCTTGAACACCGACAAAAAAGGAAGTCCCATCACGCGGTCGGATTGCGTGTACAAGCCCCACAGCAGCCATTAACTTGTGTCGATACCTTTAACGTCGGTGTCGTCGATATCTGCCACACTAAAGCTATCAAATCCCCCCAAACACTGATATCGTTTCCGCTTTGCTCTTGCGGCCTTCGACAACATCCTCAATGATGGCTTATCGAGGCACCAGGCAGTAATGCTTACGCAATTGCTTCATTCCTCTGCTCCTTTTCTCGTTGAGATCGCCAGGAGCAAGTCCGATTCGGGTAAACGCTGGCTTCGCACGATTCAGTCATCGCCCACGTCATCCAATGCGAGTTATAAAGACGTCGATCATTCCTTCTGGTCGTTCGCATGTACATTCACCGTGCGGTCGCGCGTTGTCGACTGCATCCGTTACCGAGCTGCCTTTCTCGCGAGGACTGCTTGGTGGTGGCACATGGAGCAAATTTGAAAATGGGCGGCGGTTTCACCAAGTTGGAATTATAACCAATGAACTGCGTCCAATGTTTGAAACGAAATCGGATTGGCTAGCATTTCAAGCATTCTTGAACTGCATTGTTGTATCGAAATAGGTTGGATGATGGAGCTGCAGATCCATGTGCGGCGCGCGCGATCGTTCCTCTTCCACTCACTCTCGTTGGGAAGCGCATCGCTGGATGCTGAAGCATTGGAGCTGCGTGTACAATGCACGATCAACGGCGAATTGAGAAGCAGTGGAAGTGGGAAGCGCATTGCCACGACAAAGCACACTGATGGATATATCTGGCGTCAAGACACGGGCACAATTTCATGGTACCTCACGACAAAGGAGCTGAAGGCGCTCAAAAGCAAAGCACCGACCCTTAAGCTTCATGTGTTTGCAATTGGTGACGAGGTGTATAGTTTAGGCTGGTTCTTCATGGATTTGAGGTTAGTTGTCCCGACCTGTTGATGTGACCCGTCATGTGCATGCGACGAATAGGACCCCAGACACGGCACTTCGATGGATCAAGCTGGCCAACTCAAAGTATGCTGGTGAAATCCAAGTAAGAAGTCAGTTACGGAAAGCATCTTCGCCCTTGACCTCTGCATCCAAATCTTCCGCGACATTACTCCATCCGACGTCACCATTTTCACCACCGACGCCATCGCCTGACGAAGCGCCAGAGGAAGACTGCTTGGTCGTTGGCGACCGTCCTGACTCGATCTTTGTCTTGTCCGTCGTTGTGAAAGGAGCGATAAACCTTGGTCCCATGGTCGAGGCAATGCTCAAGCGATGTTCATCTCTCGAGCTCCGAGCAATCCTTTCCAAGGGTTTCTGGCTCAGCTACTCGATTTT